GAATTCAGTGGCTGATGTTGGTTCATGTATGTAATATTTGTTTTTCGTAAATTGAATAGTTATAAATTAGGCCGTTAGTTTTCTCTTCTGAATTGTTTCACATGCCAAAACCTTTCATAGGAAAAAAATATAAGTGGTATAATGGGGAGATTATTTGACAAAGAAGAATTCTGACAGAATAGAAATATAACTAAGTACATGTAAACAATCAAATTCTAAAAGGATTACTTTTCTCTCAAATTACTTACACCTGCTCATTAACTATGACAGTAAGTAACAATAAAAAGATTAATAATATGTCACAAAATTCTCCACTTAGGGAGGCTTTCTCATGTTTAGATAAAAATTTAATATTTTATGATGTATGAGTGGTGTCAGAAGAGAAAGGACATTAGCTCCTGAAATAAGAGATTCTTATTTTCTGAACAATTTTACATTTAATTGTCCTTAACAGCTTTGATACATGAAAAATAAATGTAGAGAGTACTAAGCAGTACTTCTTTAGTCAATCTGAAGATAATGTACTACATGTGAGTACAAATTGTGTAATGGACAATTGCTACAATCAAATTGTTTTGTAATTACAAATTAGGCCGTTAGTTTTCTGAATTAAACTGTTTCATATCGGAGCCTTTTATAGCCGACTATACAGTATGGGTTTTCTCATTGTTGAAGGCCCTACGGATGCTTATAATTGCTTACATCCACTTCATTTTAACTTTGGTGGATAGTTGTTTCATTGGCAATCATACCACATCTCCTTATTTTCATATATCATAAAACAAGAGGCTGCAGCTTGTCAAGTGTCATTCTCATACTTGCAGACGTGTACATGCATTTAATATGATGCTTTATTTTCTGAACCAATGTGCTATTTCATAAACCAATTGTCATGATTGTGTTCATAGATGTCCTGATTCTTTAGCTGTCAAAAAGAATCAGAAACAAATCTAATATATCCCTAATCTAAATAAAGTAGTATTCCTGGAACTGTTGAAATGTACATTGAATGTTTTATCACATCAAAATTAGTCATAATGAGAACAACAGAAAAGTGTAAATACATGAACATAGAATTGAGAATGGAAATGTAATACATGTATGTATTGAATATACATATTGTAATTGTAACTTCACATTTTTTCTTTTCTGTTTAAAAGTCGTTCAACACCATAAAGTAGATCTAATATTGCAGGGCTCACACTACTTCAGATCCATAGGGAGAAGTGACTTCTCTTTTTGAAACTGAGAGGGAGAAGTGGTGAGATTTGAAGGAGAAGTGCTCGTTCGCTCGCGGCGCTACAATGTTTGGTTTTTACTATAATACAAAGAGCCATATGTATCTTATTTTTTGTTATATTGTTCAATTTGTACCTGGGTATACAATTAAAGTAACAGTTCAAATTCAAAGTTGTTTAATTTTATCATATTTAGTTGCACAATCATATTAGTCCTATGTTCAGAAAAAAACAATTAAATATCTGGCAATAATAAAAAAGATTTTTTTTTATCAAAAAGGAAAAGAAAGTTGTTATATCAATTAATAAAATGCTCCGCAGGGCGCAGCTTGATACGACCGCAGAGGTCGAACCCTGAACAGTTTGGGCAAGTATGGACACAACATTCAAGCTTGATACAGCTCTGAATTTGGATTGTGATTAAATACTTGACACAGCATAGGTTTCTGACACAGAATGAATGTGGTCTAAGAATTTAAAAATTTTAAATTGGACATTCATCTATTATGGTCCAATATCCAAAATCTAAATACATGGTTAGATTCAGCATATCAAAAAACCCCAAGAATTCAATTTTTAATGAAATCAAACAAAGTTTAATTTTGGACCCTTTTGACCTCAATGTGGACAAAGTTGATAATGGGGCCCAAAAATCAAAAATCTAAATACATGGTTAGATTCAGCATATCAAAGAACCCCATATATTCAATTTTTGTTGAAATCAAACAAAGTTTAATTTTGGACCCCGATTTGGACCAACTTGAAAACTGGGCCCATAATCAAAAATCTAAATACACGGTTAGATTCGGCATATCAAAGAACCCCAATAATTCAATTTTTGATGAAATCAAACAAAAGTTTAATTTTGGACCCTTTGGACCTCAATGTGGACCAATTTAAAAATGGGGCCCAAAATCCAAAAACTTAATACACGGTTAGAATCAGCATATTAAAGAACCCAAAGAATTCAAGAATAAAACCCCATTGAAATTGGTCAAGAAATAAGCAATTTATACGAAGTATCTTCTTTTGCACAATACTGTGCAATTGAATATTTCTTGCTATTGCACAATACTGTACAATTGACAATTTCTTGCTATTGCGCAATATTGTGCTATTGGATATTTCTTGCTATTGCACAATACTGTGCAATTGAAGATGTCTTGCTATTGCGCAATACTGTGCAATTGAAGATTTCTTGCTATTGTGCAATACTGTGCAATTGAAAATTTCTTGCTATTGCACAATACTTATTATATAATAATTTACACATCCTGTTTGGTGTGTATCTCCAACCATATCATTATTATTTGCTTTTAAATATAAAACAGAAATAACTAACTTAAAATGGAAAATTTTAAAAGAAAGAAAAAAGGAAAAAAAGAAAAAAAAGGAAAAAAAAAAAATCCCCCCCCCAATTTTTTGAACCCCCTTATGATTCATCACCCCCAAACTCAATCCCAGCCTTCCCTTTGTGGTTTGGTACCTTGCAGTACAATTTCAGAGAGATCCATACACTTGAACACAAGTTATTGTCTGGAAACTAGAAAAATGCTTATTTTTTGCCCCTTATTCCTAAACGTTTTGGGCAATTACCCCCAAACTCAATTCCAGCTTTCCCTTTGTGATATGGAACCTTGTAGTACAATTTTAGAAAGACCCATACACTTACACACAAGTTATTGTCATGAAACTAGAAAAATGCTTGTTTTTTGCCCCTTTTTTGGCCCCTAATTCCTAATATTTTGAGGCAATTACCCCCAAAATCAATCCCAGCATTCCCTGTGTGATATGGAACCTTGTGGTACAATTTCAGAGAGATCCATACACTAACACACAAGTTATGTCTGGAAGTTACAAAAATGCTTATTTTTGGCCCCTTTTTGGCCCCTAATTCCTTAACTGTTGGTACCATAACCCCCAAAATCAATCCCAACCTTCCTTTTGTGGTATTGAACCTTATGATAAAATTTCATAGAGATCCATTCACTTAAACTAAAGTTAGAGTGCGAAAACCAATGTGTCTTCGGACGACGCCGACAACGACGATGACGCCAACGTCATACCAATATACGACCGCAAAAATTTTTTGCGGTCGTATAAAAACTACTCTGTTATCATGTTTATGAAATTAAGTATTTCTCATTAAAAAGATATTTAAATTTAACAGTTTTATTTAAAACAGTTAAACTTGGCCGGATATGGACATAATATAATTATGTTAGTGTAATAGTCCCAGAGTTGAGCAACTTTAATTTATAAATTGAAACAATGCATATACATGGAAATATATACATTAATCAAGAAGATCTAACCAAAAGTATGTTAATGATTGTGGAATGCCTAATTTTTCCTTTTGGGATCAATTTTCTTCTGTCAACTGTGCCATTCATGCGTCCGGTGTCATTATCGCAAGAATCTGGATTTCGGTCATAGCTGGTCCGTTTCCGATGAAATCCTGACTCCGATCCATAGTTGAACAATAATTTGCCCAAAAATTTCAATGGTGGACGAAGAAAAATTTACAAAAATAAACGATGTTTGACACGCTATTTGGAAGGGAATATGACGTTTTTAATGCAATATAAGGATAACCAATTTATATTTACTTCAGGCAAGTTTCATCACATTCTAATGAAGAAACAAGCTTATTTTGCCGAAAGTTAGAATGATTTGATATACGCTCTCAGTAACAAGTACCTGAAGTGATAAAAATTGTCTTTAAGAAAATAACATGCAACCAACTTTAAAATCAATGCTTTAACCTCTTTTCTAAAGAAAATAAATCTTTTATGTCTTTGAATTTCTTTACTTTCAAATGAAAAATTGCTGTTTCATCTACTTGGTAAATGTTGAATATTGCCGATGACGAAAGCTACTGAAAGCGAGTATCGTGAACAAAAGGGCGACTAGATTTCGCTTTTGACGGTCAGGCAAAGCTAAAGTGACGGAGGGAAAGCGACTTTGTCGCCCCAGTCGCCTGCTAGCGTGAGCCCTGATAATGCATCAAATTATAGAAAATTAGAACCTATAGCTAACAATCCCACAATTGTTTACATATACAGAGAAAGAAATCAAAGATTTTTTTTTGTAACTGGCCAAGCCAGCTATCATTTTTCTTAATTCACTTGCCCTTCCAGATTTTTAATGTCCCTTAAAAATTGAGAAATACCTTTTAGATCTGGCCCACCCTTAACAAATGCCTTGTAGGGTTGGGTTGGTAGGTAGGGATTTTTTGTTTGGCCAACAACAAAAGTTTAACATGTTTTAGACAAGAAAATGACGTTAGAGCATGAAAAATAATTTAAACCTACATGTATTTGTGTCATAAATTTTTTTGGGTAGGTATCTACATGATCTAGGCAACATCAAGCACTTTTAATTTTATTTTTGGCCCTGTACTGTAGTAATGTGTTTACATTATGTAACAACATCCAATATCAATGTTGTTCTAGTGTTAAAGAAAAGTGGCATTTCAGAGGCTTAGGTTAACCCCAAAAAGTAATTCAAGTCAATCTTCTAGCTCCTTGTGATTAATTTCATCCCAGAATAGGCTAGGTAAGCCCTTAAGACACAAAATTCATGCAAGTTTTTTTCAGAGTTATCTTAAACCTTTCATCTCAGTAGCTGTAATTAAGAGCTGTCAAGTCTGATATAAAGACACAGACATCAGTCCAGGAAGCTAAGTAATCCACCAAAAAAGTGTTAACAAGAATAAAGCATATTATATAACTTGTTTTATGAGTTAACAACAAAACTTACCTTGAAATACTAATGAAAACACAATAATCTGTAACAATAGGGGCACCATCACTAACATCTGTTTTTCAAGTTTCTAATAATTCCATATACTTCAAATTCAAAGTTAATCCACAGTTGACTGTATTTTGAATAATATTCAATATTGAAAAGTGTACTGCCACATGTAGCGACTGTTTAAGGTGCTCTTGTTGATGTTTCAGTGCTTCATCAATATACTGTGTACAACAACCTGACAACAGAAATTGTGTTAACAGTCATAGAAAAATTAATATTAATTACAAAACAAAAGTGGACATGCTGAAATGTTTCACTTCACTTGGTAAAATGATTATGACTGAAAAGTTGAAAGCACTTTTAGCAGGGTTTCTCTTTCTTCTGGACAAGGCTGATATTTGTACTGAAATTACTATTAAAAGAAAATAATTTACTGGTCAGGACTTTCAACATGTTCAACAAACAAATTCCCCCCCCCCCCCCCCTAACACAGGCACATTTTTTCAATTTCCAGTCATAAATTTAAAGTGAAATGAGAAGTAATAACTGTAATTAACAAGATCAACACCATGTCTGGACATGCCTCTCTGCAATTAATTGATTTAGGTAACATGTACAATGTATACTGAAACATAACTGATCAGTAGTTAAAATCTTGAAGCCAAGAAAACTTTGATGAAAATTTCTCTTGTACAATGAGTGTTGTAAAAACTATATATTGGCAAACAAAAAATGGCTGAACAGAATTGTTGGAAGATGTACAAATTTCCTACACGCTACAACTCAATATTATCTAGCTGCAGACCAAATATAAAATCATTCCCTTCCATATATGACTAGAACACAAGAAAAGTTTGACTAAAATACTCCTTGTGCAATAAGCAAATAAGTGTTGAAAATTTTGAACTACAATGTACATGTATATATATCAGCAAACATGAAGTGGATCACAGATGTAATAAAATGCTTCGCTGGGGCGCAGCTTGATACGACCGCAGAGGTCGAACCCTGAACAGTTGGGGCAAGTATGGACACAAAATTCAAGCTTGATACAGCTATGACTTTGGATTGTCATTAAATATTTGACACAGCATAGGTTTCTGACACAGGATGAATGTGGTGTAAGAACTGGAAAAAATTTAATTTACCTATTATGGTGGAATATCCATAAACTAAATTGTTTGTTAATTTCAATATATCAAAGAATATGTAGAATTCAATGTTTGATGTAATAATGTAATAAAGTTGAAATTTGGACCGTTTTTGTTCAATGTGGACCAATTTGGTAACATGTATAAATAATCAAAAATCTAAATACATGGGAGCCCATTTAAATACATCATAAAGGTATTAAAATAGAAAGTGACATCATAGTCATGGCTAAAAATAAACAAAAATCCTTAATCAGCAACATTTAAAGTAATATCTAAAAATTAAATTCCTTTGTAACCATAAAAGCCCATTTAAATACATCATAACAGATATTAAAATAGAAAATGACATCATAGTCATGGCTAAACATAGCAAAAACCTTAATCAGCATCATTTAACAGTAATATCTAATAAAATGCTTCGCTGGGGCGCAGCTTGATACGACCGCAGAGGTCGAACCCTGAACAGTTGGGGCAAGTATGGACACAAAATTCAAGCTTGATACAGCTATGACTTTGGATTGTCATTAAATATTTGACACAGCATAGGTTTCTGACACAGGATGAATGTGGTGTAAGAACTGGAAAAAATTTAATTTACCTATTATGGTGGAATATCCATAAACTAAATTGTTTGTTAATTTCAATATATCAAAGAATATGTAGAATTCAATGTTTGATGTAATGTAATAAAGTTGAAATTTGGACCGTTTTTGTTCAATGTGGACCAATTTGGTAACATGTATAAATAATCAAAAATCTAAATACATGGGAGCCCATTTAAATACATCATAAAGGTATTAAAATAGAAAGTGACATCATAGTCATGGCTAAAAATAAACAAAAATCCTTAATCAGCAACATTTAATGTAATATCTAATAATAAAATTCCTTTGTAACCATAAAAGCCCATTTAAATACATCATAAAGATATTAAAATAGAAAATGACATCATAGTCATGGCTAAACATAGCAAAAAACCCTTAATCAGCATCATTTAACAGTAATATCTAAAAATGGAAATTACATCATAAAGGTATTAAAAAATAAAATGACATCATAGTCATGGCTAAAAATAAACAAAATCCTTAATCAGCATCAGCAACATTTTATAGTAATATCTAAAAATAAAATTCCTTTGTAACCATAAAAGCCCATTTAAATACATCATAACAGATATTAAAATAGATAAAATGCTCCGCAGGGCGCAGCTTGATACGACCGCAGAGGTCGAACCCTGAACAGTTGGGGCAAGTATGGACACAACATTCAAGCTTGATACAGCTTTGCATTTGGATTGTGATTAAATATTTGACACAACATAGGTTTCTGACCCAGAATGAATGTGGTCTAAGAACTTAAAAATTTTAAATTGGACATTCACCTATTATGGTCCAATATCCAAAATCTAAATACATGGTTAGATTCAGCATATCAAAGAACCCCAAGAATTCAATTTTTGATGAAATCAAACAAAGTTTAATTTTGGACCCTTTTGACCTCAATGTGGACAAAGTTGATAACGGGGCCCAAAAATCAAAAATCTAAATACATGGTTAGATTCAGCATATCAAAGAACCCCATATATTCAATTTTTGTTGAAATCAAACAAAGTTTAAAATTGGACCCCGATTTGGACCAACTTGAAAACTGGGCCCATAATCAGAAATCTAAATACATGTTTAGATTCAGCATATCAAAGAACCCTAAGAATTCAATTTCTGTTAAAATCAAACTAAGTTTAATTTTGGACCCTTTGGACCTTAATGTAGACCAATTTGAAAACGGAACCAAAAATTAAGAATCTAAATACATGGTTAGATTCGGCATATCAAAGAACCCCAATATTCAATTTTTGATGAAATCAAACAAAGTTTAATTTTGGACCCTTTGGACCTCAATGTGGACCAATTTAAAAACGGGGCCCAAAATCCAAAAACTAAATACACGGTTAGATTCAGCATATTAAAGAACCCCAAGAATTCAAGAATAAAACCCCATTGAAATTGGTGAAGAAATAAGCAATTTATACAAAGTATCTTCTTTTGCACAATACTGTGCAATTAAATATTTCTTGCTATTGCGCAATACTGTACAATTGATAATTTCTTGCTATTGCGCAATATTGTGCAATTGAAGATTTCTTGCTATTGCGCAATACTGTGCAATTGAAGATTTCTTGCTATTGTGCAATAACGTGCAATTGAAAATTTCTTGCTATTGCACAATACTTATTATATAATAATTTACACATTCTTGTTTGGTGTGTATCTCCTACCATATCATTATTATTTGCTTTTAAATATAAATCAGAAATAACCAACTTAAAATGGAAAATTTTAAAAGAAAAAAAAAAAGAAAAAAAAGGAAAAAAAAAAAAAATCCCCCCCCCCCCAATTTTTGAACCCCCTTATGATTCATCACCCCGAAACTCAATCCCAGCCTTCCCTTTGTGGTATGGTACCTTGCAGTACAATTTCAGAGAGATCCATACACTTGAACACAAGTTATTGTCTGGAAACTAGAAAAATGTGTTTTTTGGCCCCTTTTTGGCCCCAAATTCCTAAACAATTAGGGCAATTAACCCCAAACTCAAACCCAGCTTTCCCATTGTGATATGGAACCTTGTAGTACAATATCAGAAAGATCCATACACTTACACACAAGTTATTGTCCTGAAACTAGAAAAATGCTTGTTTTTTGCCCCTTTTTGGCCCCTAATTCCTAAAATATTGAGGCAATTACCCCCATCATCAATCCCAGCCTTCCCTTTGTGGTATGGTACCTTGCAGTACAATTTCAGAGAGATCCATACACTTGAACACAAGTTATTGTCTGGAAACTAGAAAAATGCTTATTTTTGGCCCCTTTTTGGCCCCCAATTCCTAAACGTTTCAGCAATTACCCAATTCCAGCTTTTCCTTTGTGATATGGAACCTTGTAGTACAATTTCAGAAAGATCCATGCACTTACACACAAGTTATTGTCATGAAACTAGAAAAATGCTTGTTTTTTTGCCCCTTTTTTGGCCCCTAATTCCTAATATTTTGAGGCAATTACCCCCAAAATCAATCCCAGCATTCCTTTTGTGATATGGAACCTTGTGGTACAATGTCAGAGAGATCCATACACTAACACACAAGTTATGTCTGGAAGTTACAAAAATGCTTATTTTTGGCCCCTTTTTGGCCCCTAATTCCTTTACTGTTGGTACCATAACCCCCAAAATCAATCCCAACCTTCCTTTTGTGGTATTGAACCTTGTGGTAAAATTTCATAGAGATCCATTCACTTAAACTAAAGTTAGAGTGCGAAAACCAATGTGTCTTCGGACGACGCTGGACGACGACGACGACGACGCCAACGTCATACCAATATACGACCACAAAAATTTTTTTCCGGTCGTATAAAAATGACATCATAGTCATGGCTAAACATAGCAAAAACCTTAATCAGCATCATTTAACAGTAATATCTAAAAATAAAAATTTCTTTGCAACCATAAAAGTAAAATAGAAAATGACATCATAATCATAGCTAAAAATAAACAAAAATTTTTTTATTGGCAAATTTTAAATGGAGTTTATTATACTAAAACAATAAATTTGCAACCATAAACATGATAAAACCCCATTTAAACACATCATAAAAGTATTAAATAATTCAACTACATCATAAGGCTATAAAAATAGAAAATGACTTCATAGTCAAGGCTAAAGGTAAACAAAAAACCTTCATCAGCAAAATTTTATATTGGCAAATTTCCAATGAAGTTTATTACACTAAAATTGTTGGCAAATTTCCAATGCATTTATTAACAATAAAGTTATTGGCAAATTTCCAATTTACATAATTTAAAAGCAGTGTAGATGAGATATTTAAATGAGTTTGAATTACCAACCTTACACTGCTTTTAAATAATGTTCTTTACTCAATTATTTGTCTATTCAAATGGAAACCCTTGTTTTTTAACCTTTTTTCCCCTTATTCCTTAAACATTAGAGCCATAACCACCCCCCACCTACTTTCTCTTCGTGATAAAAAATAACTAACTTAAAATGTAAATTTTAAACAAAAAAAAAAG